TGAGAAATGAAGAAGTTGAAGGTACACTGGCTAGAGGTTGAAGATGAAGTCATCAGGACTTGATTTGCCTTACATATTTATTGTTTTGTTTATATGAACGGATGTATAGCCACCCCAGTGATAAAGCGCGCACCTGTTAACCTATGGGACCTGGGTTTGAGCCCCAGTGGTACCCTTATTTATTTTTCATATTTTTTGACATTCTGACTTGTTTTGTTTGCAGGCGCTAAGCCCTTTGGGCCTGGATTTTCCTTTATTTTTTGCTTACTCACTCCCTGCCTACTTCATGCACCCCTTGACTCTTTATTTTTTATTATTTCATTTTTTCTTTTATTTTCATTTCATTTCATATTTTATTATTATTATTATTATTATTTATATCATTATTATTATTATTAATAAAAATCCCAAAAAATAATTTATTTATTTATTTATTTAGATAATAATATGTTTATATTTTATTTCCTTTATAAATACAAAAAGACTAAAAACATTTTGCTTAAAAAAACAATTAATTTCTTTTCTTAATTAATTAATATTTAGATAATTAGGTTTAATTATTATATTATCCTCTTGTAAATTAAAATCAATTTAGAATTTAGGTTTATTTTAATTAATTAATTTTTTATATCATTTTAATTTAAAACCTTTTCTTAAAAAACCTAAAAATGTTTCAAATTTAATTTCTTTTCTTAATTAGTTTAAGTTAATTTAATTAATTTTAGTTAATTATTTTTTCTCTAATTAGGGTTACGTTAAAACCTCTTTTCATAAAAATCCAAACAAAAATCATGTTTCTTTTCCATTTGCATTTGTACTTTATATTTATTCATTTCCTTGTACATTGATATCAAATTCAATTGGTTTGTAATAGATTAATTAGGTTTATATTCTTGCAATCCCCATTCACAATTTGTATACCCCCTCCCACAAGTATTGTAATAGCGTAGTAACTTTAAATTCCGCAATTTATCGCTTTATATACAAATGCTAGTAATTAGGGTTTGTATGGAAAGACTAAAACCAATACTTAGAAAAACCTAATTCAAGAAAAAATCAAGCATGAAAACAATACACTTGCACACAAGCACCCCTAGGATTATCCCACTTGTTTGCCTTATACAAAATGACCATATCACGCATGTAAGGTATCTTAGCAAAGATAAGCAAATACAAGATCATAGTCCCTCGATGACGCTATCTAAGTTGCCTTACAAATGATTTTAGTCCCTAAAAGAGAATGCTAAGATGCCTTGCAACATTGCTAATCATTGTTATACGATGACCCACACCCGTCCCGTTTACATCCAAAGATAGGGTTGCTTACCAAATCAATGGTAAACCAATAATGTCAAAGGAAAAGAAAATGAACAAGAAAGACATTTGAGTAGGTAGATTGCTCCTAATTACTTGCTTCATTTCAAAACAAACATCCTTGTTATTTTCAAAACAAACACATACACTTTCAAAACTCTTACAAAATTGAAAACATTTTCAAAAGATCCAACATCTTTGTATACATTCTTACAAACAAGTATCATTACAAAGATTGCCTAAACAATGACCTCTTTACAAAATACTTTCAAAAACCACACAAAGCACAATTTCAAACAAAAGCAAGTGACCTAGCAAGTAACTAAGAGCCCATGGAAAACCATGGATGAAAAGGGTGCTAATACCTTTCCTTTTCATAATCTACCCCCCGAACTCAAGAAATAATCTCAAAGGTCTTTCCTGTGCTTTTTCACCTTTCCTTTTGGATAAAAGAAAAGTCGGTGGCGACTCTTGCAAACCGCAACATTTGCGATCAAACGCAAAACCCTCAAGTCAGTTCTCCCACCGTATCACAAGATGCTTCGGGAAAATTTTATTGGAGATGAAGTTGATAATATTACGAATATTTCCCTTTCTGACAATTTTCTGGAAGATAAGCTTATTTAGAACTATGAGAAAGATTGTGCTTTTTCTGTCAAATCCGCCTATCATCTTATCGTCAGGTTTAACCAATGCAATAAACTTGAGCCTTCTAGTAGAGTGGAGGAAATTTGTTATAAGAAATTATGGAAGGAACCAATTCATGAGAGAACTAAGAGTTTCATTTGGAGACGATCAAATAATATCATCCCAACTAAGTGAAATCTCGCCAAAAAAGGTATTAACCTTTATGTCTCTTGTCCTTTCTGTAACAATTTCTTTGAGAATTCTCGATATCTGTTTTTAGAATGTAACTTTATGAAAAAGGTTCTCTTCTAATCCCCTTTGGGGGTTCGGTTTCCTCTGGATTCTGGCATTAATGATTGGCTCAATTAGGTGCTTAATCAGCGCGGCCCTTTGCTTTGCCAAGTAGTTTGCATCGGTTTGTCAAAAATCTGGCAAGCCAGGAATGTTTTGGTGCATAAGCAGGAAATCAAATGGCCGATGATCGTGGCCCAGGATATATTGGATTCTGTTACAGAATTTAATAGATCCAGAAAGCCCGCGTTGATTAAGAATGTGAATATGATTGACGAGGATTCTAATATGAGGCCTTGGTATGTCCAATCAGATGCTAGATGCTTTGAAATGGAGTGGTTTCCCTAGGATGCATTATAAAAACTCCTTCTGCTGAAGTTTCTTTTGTTGTCTGCAAAAGACTGGTGAGCTTCGCAGTCATGACCACGACAGAACTGCAGGGTATAAAGTGGGCAATGCAATTGGCAATGAGTCTTAATCTCTATGATGTAATTTTTCAATAAGATGCCCTGGTTATGGTTGATTGTATTAATGGTTATGATTTCTATGCTTCTCTTGACCTAATTATTGGTGATTGTAAATGACTTCTTAGTAGTTTCAGTTCTGGCACCCTAATGTTTTTGAACAGAGAATGTAACTTAGACGCCCATCACATAGTGGGTGTAGGAAAGAGATTAGGGTGTAAAATTTGGTCTGGTTTTATCTCTATTTTAGAAGATGTGCCTGTTTCTTTGGCTGTTGCAGCCGTTTATTAATATTATTGCTGCCTTTCTATAAAAAAGTTATTTTCTCGCTTAATCGAAAAGCACATCAAAAGTATTTTCTCAAATAAATCAGATGACAAAAGGATGAATTAGGCGTAGGTCTCTTTCTTTCCCGAGTGTTCGGATACTAGCTGTAGAGCTTTCTATTCGGATATTCGTCTTTCGTACTAAAATACAATAATTAACCGAATTTAGTCCTTTCTTTTATGGACAAAAATGGATTAATTAGGCATAAGCTTATTTTTTCCCCGAGTGTTTGAATACAAGTTATAGAGATTGTCATTCAAATACTCGTCTTCTGTTAAAGAACTGCGATTTAATTCACCTAACATATTTTGCAATAAATTCGGATGAAAAGAATTAATTGGGCGTAGGCCTCTTTCTTCTCAGAGTATTTGGATATTAGTTGTAGGGATTGTCTTTTTAATACTCATCATCCACCTAAAAATAATCCAACTCATCAAATCATTTTTCCGCCTTAGCGCAACTATGAAAAACATTTCACAAACAAGTGATGCTTTATCCGTTTTGAGGCGAAACAAATCCAAGCACAGGAAACAAGTAATGTTTAACCACTCAATATGATCTAAGTATCACTCTCTAAAAGCAACCAACAAACAAATCATTTGCTTATAAGAACTACGTAGCTTTGAATTCTTCATCGCACATGAGGATACGAAGGAGCAAAAGTTGCAATATTGTTGAGCACTATAATAAAAAATAAACACTATAATAAAAAATCCAAAAATATTTTTTGTTCTTGTTAAGAACTACATCGCTTTGAATTCTTAAGTAAAACTCACAATCTTGTCAAGCACCCTAATAAAAAAAATCTATTTTTTTGTCTCTTATGCATTTATATAAATAACACATAATAATGATAATAATAATTAGAAGAAGACAAATATCTTTACGCTAACATTCATATTCACAAAACTATTTAATGGTTTCCGTTGAGTACAACGGATATAAGAGATATTAATATCTTCTCCTCGCATAATCGACTTTTGAACCTAAATTTGATTGTGGCGATCATATTTTCGTTCTTTTAAGATTTTATCGACGTTTTTTCTTTAAAAAATAAACTTTAATAAAAATTCTATTGTATTTCGAACGTTCGTTATACTCGGATATTTTTCGTACTGCGACAAATAAAGTTACAAGTTAAGAAGTTTATGGATAGATTATAGACTCATTTAGAGGTCGTGGACCCTCTCTAGTGTTTATATCGAGGGGTCCTCCTTTAGAATTAGTTGTGTGTTGGCGTGTTAGGCTCGAGCGATAAATTCTAATGTGTAACATTTGAGTTATAGTCTAATGCATGTTTGAGGTTGGGTTGACAGCTTTCTAACCTTATATTAGTCCACAATTTCAAAGTATAAGATTTGTAAAAGTGAAATGATTAAGATTACTACGCTAGTTTAGTAGTTAACCCGCTCCCAAACATGAATTATGTAAGAACGAGATATTTAAGAATACTAAGACGTTCTAATGTATATTGGCCACAAAAAAGAGAGAGAGAGAGAGAGACATTATTTTAAAAAAGAAAGAAAAATAAATAGTAAAAGAGAAAATGTGTAAATGTAATGGATGAAAAATTAGGTATGAAAATAATAAATACTCCAAGTCCAATATGGATGAAACATTAACCAAGATGTTACTGTGTCATCAACCTCCACATATGGATGGCCCCTAAGCTCCTCTCTACCTTAACGAGATGTCACTTCAAACTTCAAACTTCAAACTTCAATATATCATCTCCCAATATATCTTTGCCATAGAAAAAATTAATATAAAGTCTAACTTTGATGTATATAAAATTTTCCACAAATGTATAAATCTAATAAGTAATTGCTTACCTTATAGAGTTATAGTTAACTCCTAATTACAATCAAATCTATATAATATTCAAGTTATGGAAAGAAAAAATTGTTTAAGATGCAACATCAAAACCTATGAAATCTATTTAATATAATGCAATAAACATGTTCTTATCTGCCTATACTAATCTCCATGTTTATGCCAACAAACTAACATGGCAACACACCTTCTCATTATGTAGAATCTTGCTTTTTGTTCCTTAGCTAGATTGGTGCATTTGTGACCTATAGAAGAAGAAGAAGAAGAAGAGTTCTTCTGTGAAAAGCTTCTTGGAAGATTGCATTTGGAGGAAGATGAAGAACTCCTTAGGAGTGAAGTGTTTGAATTTGAAGTAGAGCTTCTTGTTGAAGAACTCCTTGAGAAAAATGTCTTGTGGTTGCTTGAACTTGTCTTTCTTTTGTCATCCATTAGAAATTGTAGTAATATATATCCAAAACTAGCTAGATTCCACACTATGAAAATGATTGTTTTCTTGTGTAAGGAGAAAAAGAGAGAGGCTATTTTTGGGATATAAGAGAGAAGAAACTTAGTGAGAGTGTCTAAGTATTCAAAGAGATCATCAATGTTTGCTAGTATATTCTGGTCAAGTGTGTTTATATAGAATCATATACATAATTTATTTAGGGTATCGTTACTAAACAAAACTTTAAAGGTTGAGATTGAGTGGTAACACAAATTAATTTTAAATTAATTAATTTTAATTAAAATAAATCAAATGATAAAACTACTTATATTTGGACACATTCATTAAAAAAAGTGATTTTTTTCTCATAATTTGTATATTTGTTTTGGTGTTGAAAGAAGCAATTGGGAGGATAGTAAGTTGAATGGGTGGTGCTTAATTAATTAATTAATTTCACAAGTATTGTGGCAAATTTGGAATAAGATGCTTTTCCTTCAACATGGCACATGACAGTATTCTGAATACTTGGTAGTAAAAAAAAGTGATTATATTAGAGAAGTACTACTGTTCACGTTTCACATTTTATTCGTTTGAACATGATTGTTGTTTGTAAATTGTCTCATATGAAGATGATTTTGATTTTTGTCGCTCTTTATGAATATTAAAAATAAATTATGCAATATTAATTGGGTATGGCTATGATATGGTCAATCTTAATATCTTATGATTAACTCAATATATATTACTTTACCATTGCATGCCTCTTGTATATGGATTCGGTGGTAAAGCCTCATTATCATATCTAGCTATGATTGATTTGGATTAAAATGAGTGGTTATGATTAAGCATGGCCATTCAACTATTTTCAGAAGATCAAGATCATATGCTCATGATTAGGAGTGAGATTTATCAAAAGTAAATCTGATTGGCTAAACAAATTTATAACTTAATCCTGATTTGTAGTTTTTCATAAACTTATTTTTGGATATAAATGTTCTTTTTGAAAACTTGATCGCACACTTATTGGTCTTTATAAAAATTCATTTTATTTGATAATGTTTAATAAATAATTCTACTAATGTTTAAATATATTAAACTAACTAAATAACGAAATATTCATTTTGTATGTATTTAATTATTGCAGTATATTGATTGCGGTATGTTACACATTAAAACAATTAGCTCTCACTTCTATCATTGGAAAAACTTCACTAAAGATAACACAAGTATGTTTTTCTCCTATCTATTTGTGCATTAGAATATTTGTTGGTCTAAGTGTCAATCTCTCTTCAAATTGGTCAATAAAAATTTTACACACGCTTTTTTTCTTCACTGATACTCCAACATATCAAAATATATCAAACATGACATCTCTAACAAGGTCATATTTGTATTTAAAGTCTGGAAGCTCTCTACATTGAATTGCGCGTTCCCCAAATTTATCCAAACATGCCTTACAATAAATAGGGCAAACCTCAACAATAAGAAATAAAAGAATCATAAGACAATATCTTAGGATAGTACGATACTCCACCGGTGTCATAAGTCTCCACATTCCTATCCAATATGTGACTATTTCCCCACTTACTCACACTTGCTATATTATTCCAACACTCCCCTTCAAGTGTGAGTCCACAATGCTCTCCCACTTGTACCACACCATTCAATACAAGTTCCTTCCGGTCTTTTTCTCGAACCAAAGGCTCATGATATCATGTTGAGGGAGATTATTAGGAGCATTGATGCATAGTATAGGAACAAGCACCTTTGAGAGAAACACACCACTTCTCCACCTTCGGCCTCTACTCTCGAGGACAAACCCAAATGCCAACTCTATAGATAAAGAAGTCACCATTCATTAAAAGTCTCCAAAGAAAAAACTTCCACGTCCAACCACGATGTCTTGAACCATCCTTCGCAACTCTTTATCAAATCAAATAATTGTTTTCAGTATATTATTTGATCTTATCTAATTATTTATTTAAAATAACTTAAGAAAATAACTTTTAACATTTGTTAAAGTTTTATTTATTTATTTTCATTTTTTAAGATATCTAAGTTTTTTTAATAATTTAATTCAAAATTTAAAATATAATATAATAATAAATTTATTTATATTATTTAAATAATCACGTCTCATATGATTAATTTTTTTAAGATGTAACTTGTCATTTTTAACTAAATCGATTTATAAAATATTTAAATTATTTCTTTTTAAAAGTCATTAAATCTATATGATATATGTTTATTTATCATTAACATCAGAGTTGCTTGTGTTAGTTAGTTAATTTTATATATATATATATATATATATATATATATATATATATATATATATATATATATATATATATATATATATATATATAATATGATGGATTGTTTTCCTTCTCTTAGTCTTCATTCTACTAAGTTCAAATTTGGTTTAATCTCATAGTGTTGCTAATACTATGGGATTTAAATAACAACCATAATGTTGTAGACATTAACTTAGGATTTTGAATTCACATGCACATGGCATTGCAACTACGTAACCAGAGCCGATAGCAGTAGTTAGAATAGTAAACAATACTTTATAAAAAAAATCAGATTTAATTTTTTTAAAATTAAATCTGGCAGTTTTGTCTGAATTTAATATTTTGAACAGAACGGTTCTGCTGAACTTATCATGTGAAAGAATTGATTTGTGTTTTTTTCTCTTCTTTTTGTAGTAATATAATATTAATATATACATTTTTAAAATTTTAATTGAAATCTCCGATAGAGTACTAGTACTACTTGGTGCCAAGTTATATAATATTACTAATATCATATCAAACTTGTAAATCAACGTTAACAAAATTGAAAGAGAGATGAAATGCACATCGAGAAGGAATCTAATGATTTGAAAACAAACTTTTATTTTCAAAGATTATTTGACTGGTCAAAATTAAACTTTGCAATCACATGCTTCTAACTAACATTATCATTGGTAAACAAAATTAGTGTAAATAGTACATTTGTGTTCACCAATTTTTTTGCTGGTTGGGGACATTTAAAGACAATAATATGAGTCAAAGTGAAAATGCAATCAAATGTGAAAATGTTCTATAGAGCTTTTGTAAGAGTTTGAGGTGCCCAAAAATACAGTTAATTTATTAAAAGCAAGTACTATGATATTCAGTCAAAGAAAAACATTATGTGCAATCAAATAGGTTTAGTCAAAAGATGACGTGGATGGTCAAAATCATGTCACATGGACTACTGTGGTTGATGTAAATCCCTATTTAGTTGTTAAAAAGGGAAAAGTAATTTTGATCTTCTATATTTGAAAATTTGAATACAACTTATATTGTGTTTTATATATATTAAATGTGTAATACACTAACACACCTAACCTTCAAAATTTCACCATATCTAAGGTAAGATGTTAGTTCTTTTTTTTGGTGTGTGTGAATACATAATGGTCGAAACCTAATGAAGTTAATTAAGTAAGTATGAAGTTAATTAAGTAGTCTAATTCAAAATATGATATATAGATCATGTATGAAAAAAATAAAGTTTCAATTCACATTTTTAAAGTACATATCAGACATAATAGTGAAAGTTGAAATCACTTTACTTTTTTATGTGTCAACTTCGACATAATAGAATGACAATACATGATCTAACATCTTTGAGATTATTATGAAAAATTAACACATTCAAATAATTTAAAGGTCTTGATTTATTTTAAAATTAGACTCCAAATAAATAAAGCATAATAGATTAAAAAATTATATTTCATTTAAATTATAAATAAGTGATATAAAAATATTTTATAAAAATTTGTCTCATTGAAATTTATTTTTTGCATTTTGCTACTTCTACAATTCTCAATTTATTGAAAAATTCATATCATTCAATGAAAGTTAATAATTCTTTGAACAATGTCAACAATGTTAATAACAAGGTGTTTTAATTAGTAAACAATTAACAACGTGAAATTATATAATATAAGAGTACTAAGGTCTCACAACTACTACATCAAATTTATTAATGTACCAATTCACAATGAAAATCTAAATTAGTAAAAAAAACTTTGTAAATAAGTTATGCTAGAATGTGTTTTAAAATATTTTAAATCCAATAACTTAATTTACTAATTTATTGTATTTAATAAATCTTTAAGTAAAATAATAATAGTAAATTTACTAAAATTTTAAAACATTATTATGAAGGAAAAACAATAGCTACAAATAATATTATTTAACATTTCATCATAAAGTAATAATAAATGAGTTAGATATATAATATAATTTTGGAGGCCCTCTGCATTTGTACTCCTCGCACACTCGTAGGATTGGTCATGTCAATTAGATATTTATAATATAATAAAAGAGATGTATCTAGAAATTCCTCAACTAACTTTTACTCAAATCCCTCCACATACTTCTTTTGAGGGTAAAACCCATTCAATTATCTATAATATAAAAAAAGAGATGTACTTGGAAATTCCCCGATTAACATTTGTTCAAATCCCTTCACATGCTTTTTTTAGGGTAAAACCTGTCCAATTTTTTACTTTTCTCAACTAAACTCTGACTTGGTCCATTCATAAGTACTAATTTGTTCCATTTGATCTATTAAGTTTTCTTATAACATATACATATTTCTATTGCAACCAAATATTAACTTTTACCAAGTTCTCAATGCAGTATTTATGAACCAGCTTTTAAAAAAAAGTATATGTTACTTCCTCCTGCTTTCTCCGCGCTACAACATTAACACCCTTTTCCTCTCTCTTTTATGTAACTAAAATAGATCTGAAACCTAAGCATTCATCTCTTTCTCTCAACCTAAATTCTATGCATTTCATCTCTTCCTCTCTTAACCTAACAAGATTTCTATCGAAACTGTGAGTTTGCATCTGAAATGGTGGATCTGAAGTGTAAATCGAAGGTGGCGTTATGGTTTTGTGTATGGATTCATGGTGACTATGCAATATTTTAATCGAAATAAAACTTTAATGAAGCGATGATATGCGACACAGACGATGTCGCTTCGTATAGAGTTGACGGATCGAAAGCTGCAGATGTGGTTCTAACAGTGTTATTGCAAGTTTCTTTGTTGATTTTTAGGCAAATTCAAGTATTTTCTAACTAAAACATAAAGTGACAGGTTGCAAATGTGAGAAATTATGCTTTAATGTTGAATAATACAATGTTCAGGT